CTACAAACTTGATTTCAACCCTGATATGGTTGATTACAAAACCACAGACTTTCACTACAAGTCAAGGTTTATTGAATTGACTTCAAAATCCAAAGTCAACCAAATGACTCCATATTGCACATAGTAGTAGAGCTTCATTGATTGAGTAAGTGTTCAGTTCAAACCTATTCAAAATTTATAATAGTTGACTCACAAAAGGTGAAATACTTCCAAAATATTAGCTTTATTAGTTTAGGGCTAGCCTGGCTCAAATAGTATTAACACTATATTGTTGTGAATTTCCCCTTCCTGTTCACTGCTTACCACTTGTATGATAGAGCACAGGTACAGGTCTGGGTCTGTTTAACTTGACTCAGACCCTGACCCTGACCCTGACCCTGACCCTGACCTTGACCCTGACTGTCAGGGTTCAAATTGGGCTATGCAAGACTCCTCTTGAGGAACAAGTGCCCGGAACAGAATAGATGAATTGTCAGGCCCACAAGTATGGCGGGCAGGTTCAAATCAAACTAAAAGGGCCTGTTAAAGTCAGTGTTGGGTCTGACACATCTTTCTTGGTCACATGCTTTCTATGTGTGCATTCCCCCCTATTAGGGTGTCTGTTCCTGTCATTACATACTGTGTGTTGCGGGCCTTCTGTGTGTTGCGGGCCTTCGGTGGCCTGATACCAGTGCTGGAGAGGACAGGCCTTACACTTTGAACTTGAATGCGCGTTCGTAGGGTTGAGCACAGGTCCGGGTCTCAGAAGGCTGACCCTGACCCTGACCCTGACTAACCCTGACTCTTCTGGATATGAGTCCAACCGGGTCTGGCACCCACGGGTTGCAGACAGGGAAGCAGAAGATGTATTTGGAACAATAATTTCAACATAATATACATTTTGCTATATGATATTGGCTCAGATATAGTATATGTAGCCTATTCCTCAAGAATTTAAGGATATTGAATACAATCTACTCATATGTCATATGTCACTTGAGTGACTTGAGTGACATCTGATTTTTTTTGTCTCTTAAAAAGTCATAAAATCATATTTAGATAGGAAATTATTAAATCACAAAAACTCAATGAGCATATGCCTGTAACCCTTGTGTAACACCTCTCTACCAAACATCAATGATAGCCACTCTTGCCACCAGCTCAGCCCTAGGGTCCGTCTGGACCTGCGGGTCAAATCTGGGGTTGAACAGCCAGATTCAGAAGTTGGTGGGGTAGAGCATGGGTCAGGGTCTCAGGGTCAGAGTCAGGGTTAGTATACCCTGACCCTGACTCTGATTATAACAAACCCTACCTGACTTGTACTCTACCCTCATCTTGTACATATAGATATGCATATGATGAATGAGGTTAGTATATACCTCTCTCAGTTCCTTTGTGCATTCTAACATGAAACCCTGCCACTTCAACCCCCCACTCATGCTTTCTAGAAAAGAGTAAAATGTGGACAATGAAGAGGACCAGGATGGAACACAAGAAGGCTCATAAATACTAATTGTAGTATATAATAATGATTGTTTGAGCTTTTTGAATTGTATCAAATATGACATGAGGGTTAACCTAGATCAAGTCAACCTTACCCAGTAGGGTCAGGGTTAGGTAGGATCAGTGTCACAGATAAGACCTGGCCTGTCCTCTCTGGCACTGGTATCAGGCCACCAAGGGCCCATAACACACAGGATGTGATGACAGGAACAGACACCACAGTAGAGGGAAATGTATATGTGGGAAGCACATGACCAGGAAAGATGTGTTGGGCCTGCGCTGAGCCCAACTTGCAGCATGAAGGAACAGGAATTTCTGACTCAACCATTGACCTTGAAGCATATGAATAGTAACATGTATTAAGGGTCCCTACAATCTGGTAACATTTATTAGAAAGTTTGTGTAAAGTCAGTACAAAGTTGTTATCCCATTCATGCTAATTATGTATTTAAATATGTAGCTGGAGACTGAACTTGTAGGGTCTACCCGGAGATCAGACCCTTGAGGTTGACTTGAGGGTTAACTTGAGGGTTGACCCTCAAGTCACTGATATACATACAATATCTCTTACAATTTCTCCAATGTATATACTGACAGTTTTAATCACAATTTCTGGCATGAATAAATTTGAGATTTCAACCATGATTTCATTGTACTGTAAATCTACAGTTTCAGCAGTGGAGAAATGTAAATAGAAACAAAGAGAATCTATGTGCATTTCTCCACTGCTGATTTCCTTTTTATCATCTGTGCTGAAACTGTCAGTGAAATCCTTTGTTTCACTGTCAGTTTCGCCACATTTGATGTGCGTAATATCATGACCAAATATATGTGCACAGATATCAACCATTTCAGGCATAGTTTCAGTCCCATAGATAGTTTTCATCTCAGACTGCCTAAAACTAGTATATATTTGACTAAAATCATTCTCAGTTTCAAAAATGTATATTTTGGGCAAATCTCCATAGGTTGATTTGGTTCTAGATTCTACCAGAATCTAGCACAGTTTCTACTTCAAGGGATATTTTACCAAATCCGGTGTGCATGTTTTCTTTCAATATTCCGGCCTGGAATATATCACATGTTCCAGGCTGGAATATTGTGATCAGATTCTGAGACTATCATTGATTGGGATTCTGATTGGGATTCTATAAAACTGTGATATACCACTAGATAATTACATGCTGGCCAGCAGGTATCATGACAAATCACCTCACTCGCACATATAGCTTATCCCTCATAACAAAGGCTTGCTGGCTAAGACTCATTACTTTTTTCTCTTGCATTATAATATTTACATACAGGCATACATTAAGTGCCCGCGTCCACAGTCTACCTCACCAATCATTTCCTTCCTCGTGAACGTCGGCGCCGCCAGAACCGGTCTGCCGGGACCGGGCCGGCGACAAGCAAGTGGAGCTTGGTCTCGACAACCGTGTTGGTAGTAACCTTGATAGCCAATCTCGGCCATGACACTGACTGCCCTCGTTGTAGAGGAACATTGCTTGGTCAGTGCTGTCGGTAAGGTCCGAAATGGACTAATAAAATGTCAGCATCATAAACTCTGGCCGAATAGCACTCACTTGCCGGGCTAGGTAGGAACAACGACAGCGGGTTCCAGTCCAATGCCTGAGTCCGCGTTGCCGCCTCCGACCACTTGGCAACTAGTCAACAAAGGATGTCAACAAGCCATGCACCTTTGCAACTCAGAAAGAGCCGATGCACAAGCCGAATATATCACTGGGACAGGTTTATGTAACACTGGCAAACAAAGAATTAGCGGCAGCCCACCGATAGCAACGAGGACCTGCAGAGTCTTTGGCGTGCACGTGCATAACGCGGGCCGGCCGATCGATCGACTACACGCCAATCCTCCAGAAGTGCGGCTCATTCGTGTGGAGTTTGCGGCAGCGTGCAGCACACGGCATCTGCGTTGCGTCAAGCCTGAGATCGATTGGGCCAGCGGGAGATGGCGGGTCGGCGGGCACAATGGTGAGCCGGAGGCTGTGCAACTGCTGATGGTACTGCTGAGCGAAATGATGTCCGTGCTCGCTTTAAGATGGGCATTGGAGAAGAACGACACTGTGCGTGACTTCTTTTTCGGGAGCGGGACCTGTTGGCCGACAGGAAGCAGCGCCAGTGGAGGAAGAAGCCACCGAAGTAGCAGAGAAAGCCGACCCAAGAAAGCCGACCCAGAAGTCTCGATGTGGGCGGGACGGCTTTGTGTGTCGTGTTCTGAATCATGGCCAGTGTCTAAGGTCTTGGCCAGGCTCGGTTGTTTAGGGTTAACAATGTTAGCCCTGATGCTAGCAAGTCGCCCTTTAAGACCGCGTTAGTGTCGAGCTTGGCATCATAGCTGTTTGTGATGATGCTCCAGCTGATGCCGACGTGGCTGCCTCTGCTCATGTTGCCAACAGTGATAAGGACGAGAGAGCAAGGGAGAAGTCGTCTCGACTTAGACGGCGTTCGGCTCGGGTAGTCGAAGCGGGACCCAAAGAGATAGTTCAGGAAGGTGCAATGATGGCGCCTTGACTGAGCGCCGAGCGGACTAGCTTGGCGGCTGAAACCGAAGGGGAGATGATATGCCTGATGAAGAAGATGTTGAATGAGCGCTATGGGTTGACGATGACGAGCCAGCTCTGTGAAGTGGAATTCGGAGCGGGGCAGAAATACCATTATTGGTCTGCGAAGAAGAAGAAGTCGCCGGAGAGGGTCGATTACTGGGGATTAGAGAGGAGCGCGAGTTGTTGTTCGTGGTCGTTGTGGGGCCACCTCGCAAGCCCCCGACTCGGAATCCACTGCGAAGGCAACAATGTGCGACTACTGGGACAACACCACTGTTGGCGAAAGCGACCTCGAACCCACGTGTCAATCGTGCAAACCGCAAGCGGCCGAAGCCGTCAGGGAGGGAATTCTGGTTGTCGAGGTAAGCATTTTTCGCAGCTGGAGACTATTTGCAGAAACTTACCGTGATATTCAGCTGTTTTGGCGCAAACAGCGAGATGAAAGTTGGCGCGGAGAGGGCGGCATTGACGCGGGAGACGCAGCCGTTAAGTGGGTGCATTGGGTTGCAGCTGGCGGCAAGGCGGCTCGTTTGGCAGGCAGTAGAAGTTGGCGCCAGAGTTGCGCGACAGGCCGATGAAATGCTTACAATGAGCACCATGGCTGGTCGTTGTCGTCATCGTCATCGTCGACGGGGAAAGTGAGTGTGGAAGGGAAGAAGCAAAAGAAACAGAGCGCTGTAACGCTGTCGTGACCTGTGATATGTCTTTGTTCTTCGCGTGCGGTCAACGCGAGACATTCCAGCTGCTGCTTTGAACTGTCAAGATCTCCCACTCCGTCCTCGTCCTCGTCGACTCCGAAGACCAAGACAAGCACGTTCTCGAAACGCCATCGTCATCGCAACGAACGGGGTGTTCGTTGGAGGAAAGAAGCGGGTTGGCAGTCCATCAAGCCCCAGTTGCAGCCGGCCGCGAACAGCTGCTCCTGCTGTTGTAAGTCCAGCATCATTTCCTCTAATGCTGACTCCAACGACACATTATGTAGACGCGGCCGCCACCAACAGTACTGATGAGATGTGGTCGCCACTACCAGCGCAATTCTTGTCTTCTCACACTGTTGCAGCTGGAGCCATGCGTGCTGTTACGTTGGCTGCGCTCGTTGCTGTCTTCGCTGCGCTGGCTGTGACGAAGCCTACCCACTCCGCTAAACCTGAACACAATAATGGGCATCCTCAACGGCACCCTCGCCGTCCCCAACCCGATTTCCGTGTCCAACCTGCTTCATCGACCTTCTTCCAGCCCATGTCTGACGCGCTTGTGCCCCTCAACGCTCACTACGTATAATTCGACAACCGGCACGCTCCGGTCCGGGCGCGGTCATGGCACGGGCAATACGCCGCTCGCGCGCAGAACCCGTGTGACGTCTTCTTCGACGCGGACATCCGCACCCTCTTCAGCACCGTCCGACCCGCCATGGGCCAGACGTGGGGGCCGCACATTTCTTCTCTCGCCAGCGTCGACTTTGGGAGTGTATCGAACACGGCACAGATGCAGGAGCTGATGTTGAATGCGCATGACCTGGGGATCAAGTCGCGTTTCTAGGACATGCCCGCGTTGGTGAGCACGTGAAACATGTTCTGGGCGGCGGGCTCGGACTCGGTGAATGCGGATAACTTGGCGGCGTTGTCAAATGCGTGGGCGGTGTTTAGCGGTGTGCTTGTGCCGACGAGGTTTGACCGGGCTGGATGTGCAGAAGGCGTTGGAGCGGAAGCCTGAGGGTTTGTCTGTTGACTGGAAGAATGCAGAAGCATGAAAGAGGGCTACTGGTTGGCGGAGGCGGTTGTTGGAGGCGGTTGGTGGGGGGAGGTATGATAACTCGGGCGAGGCGGACGGCCCCCTCTTTGACCAACTCGCACAACGGTGTCTCGGACGACAACGACTTAGGCCACATTGGCAAGTCTGTACAGTGTGTTCATTAGTCCAGTATAAAAGATTGCAAAACTTACCACCAGCAATCCAGCTCTAGACATGAAGACCGTTCAAGGGTCTTGAAGCGAGGCACTATCTTGAAGTAAGTCAATAGAAGAATAGTATTGCAAACGTAACTTACCGATGTGGACAGCGGAAGGGTCAGCAAAGGGACAAGTACGACAACCATGAGAAGGAGGAAGACGAGATAAAAAAAAAGAGGTAGAGAGAGAATGCTACAAGAAAATGTTGAGTAGTGTATGTGTAAATGGTAGACTATGATAGGCACTAAGTAACAACATGGTCAAGGAGTTGGTGAGGATAGACAGCAAGGTCAATGTATAAGAGCATAGGACTGAGATGGATTTGTGGGGAGGGTGCTGGTCCAATGAGGATTTGGGCAATGATGTGATCATGCTGGGGGGAATGGCCTCTACAACCAGCAAGAGATCCGGAGTGGTCGTGCTGAGGCAAGCCCGTATATAACCAGACTGTCGGTCGTGCTGTGGAAGAGCCCTCTACAACCAGCAAGAGCGGTCGTGCTGAGGCCAGTCCATATACAACCAGACTGTCGGTCATGCTGGGGAAAGCCCTCTACAACCAGCAAGGGAGCAGTCGTGCTGCTGCAACAGACATTGAAATCTGTTGGCTGAGGCTGTGGTCCGGCGGCTCAGTGATGGGACATTTTGGACTAACACAAAGTTCAGCATGGATTGAATATTGGGACTGGCTACTGCGCACCTGCTCTTTGCTGCCTGGCATTCCCTGCCAAGGACCCTGACTCACTCATGTCAAGGCCCAGCACATTCCACTACCTCGCCTGCAAGGCCAGCAGGGCACGTGACAAGCAGTAGTGCACATGACAAGCAGCGGTGCATGTGACAAGGACCATCTATCAGCCACCCACAATTGCTTTGAGTGCTGGACATGATGGGCAAGTAGCGCAGGGTGGAAGTGATAACAACCCAAGTTGATAACACAGTTGGATTACAAGGGTTGACAGTTGCAACCTATCAACCCTTGCAATCCAACTGCGTCATCGAGGGCAAGAAGAGGCAGTGGGCGGTGATCAATGCACGCTGCTGTGCACAATGCAACGGACAAGACACGCCATGCAAAAGCTGATGAATAATCGTGGATGGATGGATATCAGCGCTGCCGCCACAGGCAGACACCACGCTATAGATGAGGAGCGACTTTGCAGATAGTGAAGAGCTTGAGGCTCTAGGTAGACTACACAGAAATTGTCTGAGAAATATCCAAGTTAACAGATAACAAAATACACGCACAAAAGGAGTATCCCCAAGCTATAAAACTGGACTGGACAGCCTGAGCATTCCAGCCCTTCAGATCTCTGATTGTTTTGAAGCGGCATAAGGATGTGGCCATCGTACCAGCAGACTATTGGAAGCTGGGATAACCTGCCCTCTCATCAGCCCCACCCACGCTCGCTCCAAACCCACAATCATTGTACACACCATGTTGTCCATGCCAGTGGGCGGTCACAAACAGCAGCTGCACGAACGCGGGGATCTGGTTGGGCAATGATCAACACCATCCCCTCTTCCTAGCTTGTGTCGAGGTCGTGGGTGTGGAAAGCGTGAGAGAAACCCAGCACTGTGACTCGAAGAATCACAGTGATTTGTCAGAGTCTTCCAGTTGGACTCTGACTAAGCATGACCAAGTGCCCAGGTCATCGTTTGCTCCGATCCAACATGTTCTATACCGGCCACGGGCGGGGCGGTGGCGACGGCCAGTGGACCCATCTACAAGACACAAGTGATGAAGGAATATGGGCTCAGCAATGGCGACCTCGCGGAGCTCAGCCCGCGCAACAGCCACCAGCACTGGCAGGTGGTCGTCTCAACAACAGCCACAGACATGGAGCCGCACTGGAGAGCAAGTTGCGGCATCCCAGCAATTTCGGCCCATGCACGTGCTCAGGCGGGCCAGCGCGTGGACACATAGGCATTCAGGGCGACCGGGTGTGGCGTGCCGTGTGCCGAAGGCCCAAAGCTTCAAGTAAGTCGGCAATAGTAACTGCTGGATATATTCTTAAGGGCTAAAAATTGTTTGGCAAGTAGATTAACCTGTGTAGCATGCAAATCGTCAATAATATTGGATCCAACATGTCCAGAACTAGACTACTGTACTCAGACTGAACAACCATCGTCACGTCTGTGTCCTCTTTTCCCAGCTTGTCGTCCGGCTTGTGTTGAGGTCGTGGATGCAACGTGGGTGCCCGGCGTTGTGACCCGAAGACACCCTAAGAGTTGGAGTCATATGATTAGTGATTTGTCAGAGTCTTCCAGTTAGACTCTGACTAAGCATGACCACCGAAAAATCAATCACATTTTATAAATCAAAAACAATGTATTTTCTACGCTACGACACACGATACTATAGTCCAAGCACTAGTGCACCCACCAGTTCATCCTCCCATACACCTGCATCCATCCCACGGGCGTTCCCAACACCGGCACCACGCGGCCCAGTTTCAGTCGAGTTCGCGCTCAGCCTGGTCTTGAGGAACGCTCGGCCGGAGGAAACATAAGCGGGCACGGAGGCTTGGGGACCACCAGCGTCCAGCGTCCGTTGATATCTAAGCTCGATCGCTCGAGCGGCAACACAGGCCATTGTAGATGAAAGGCCGGGGGAAGCTGCGGATCGAGAATCAGACAGAACAACCGGAAAACAACACATACCGTAATGACTCCGTGATTGCTCAGCGGCGCGACAGCTAGTCCAGACATTGGCGTGGCGAGACCTTGAACGCGCCAGAGCGGATTGCCAGATGCAGTGTCAGTTGTCGTGATGAAGAGGACGAGCGGGCACGCACATTGTGTCCATATCCATGCACTTCCCCACAGTGGTTTTTCACGCCTGGTTGTAGTGTGGTCATGAGCTGACACTCTATGAAACCACGAAAGACAATCAGACCGGTCCAGATCTGAATGGCTGTGGCGACGCACCGACATCGTTCTGAGCGGACAGACAATCCCCCGTAAACTTGTACCTTCCCCGAGTCCCCCGTACAAATGCTTACACGGCCCCGTGTCTTGTGGGCGATTTCCGACTTGTACGTCTTCTGCGCGTTGAGGAGAGCGCCGTTGCTGACGACCGTGCCATTTTCAGTGTCGATTTCGTGGTTTCCGAAGGCAGCAGCGAGGTGCGAAGCGTTTTGCCGGTTGCTGGAGGGAGGCAATGCGTCCTCGCACACTGCAGCTTAATTCGGGGGCTTGGCGTTGAGTTAGCGGTAGCATTGCCGCGGCGTCCAGATGTGGGAAACGGCCTTGTTGTCCGAGCTGGGCTGTGAGCGGGCTCCGAGTTGGTGAAGTGAGCGGGTGGGATGACGAAGGCGGGAGAAGTTGGTAAGCGACACGTGCCAGTGTCGGGTTACGGACCCGAAACGCCGGTCGTCACAACCCTGAGCCTTTGCGCTCCCTGAGCCTTTGCGCTGGGCTAGTGTTGTCGGTGAGCCCGCTATCCCCAGCGATCGATCACACTTCTACCAGGCCGCACCCAACACTCTACAGCCACTTGGCAACGCTGACCCCACACTCTGCGGCCCAAACGGCAGCATTTAACCACCACCAAAACGTATGCCGGCGCCCAATATCTGGCGTCCCCTTCCCTTGAATCCCCTCTGGCAACTCACAAAAAACTACGGACTACGGCCTGGGTCAGCACGCTGCCTGAATCACTGTGCTGACCCGGTCCACCAGGTTTCCTCCAAAACTGGGCAAGCGGCTGGGGTAACAGCAGCAACTCGGGAGTGGCCGTTGACCTATGCCCCCCGCTTTCTCCTTGTCTCTGACAACGGCTGTGTCGACTCTCAACGCCAGCAATGACGACGAACTTCATTACTGGGAACTCTAACAACAGAGAGTATCTGTGTTCGGACTCGCCGGCCGAAACCTATGGGAAATGCCATGCTGGCGTTTTCCCCACCAGAATGTGCTTGGCCCGTTCTTGCCAACTACCCACCAAACGGCCGCTTTAACGACCATTTCTGCCCAACTCGCGCGAGATCGTGAGATCGTGACCCTTCTCAACTTTGAAAGCCACGAAGAAGAGATGTGAGATGTCCTGCAGCTGCAATGAGCAGCCTCCAGCTGAGTCGACCTCAGACTCAAAGAAGACGGAAACAGATGCCTGGGTGCGCGACTGGTTGCGCGTCGCGCCCACCGCCAGCAGCAAGCACACACACCTTCCCCGTATCTTTCATCACCAACCTCACCAACGAGCTCGACCCCATCCCCCTCCCCTCTCCAACTTACCATCGCCGCCATTTGTCAACTACGACAACGAATCAGGGAATACCCGCCCAGGCCGGCAGCGAGTTCCGTGTTTGTGTCGCTGGGCTGACAAGGGCC